TGGAGAAAAAAATCTTAATTCTAATTGGTATATATTTATGTTGAAGATTCATATCAAATGAAAATAGAATTCTGATGCTCAAAACGGAGGCGAAAGATTCCAAAGAGCAACGCCATGACAAAAAGAAAGACAAAGATGTTCAAAATCGGCTTACAAGGATATTTAGGACGAGATCAAATTAACAATTAATACAATCGGTAGGTTCTGCAAGATAGGTCGAATGGGATTAAGAGAACAATTTTAATTGCTACTGGAAAATGGGGTTGTTTGATAGGGGTAGAAATTTGGATTTAATTGCAACAGGTCACGTACGGAGGCCTCAGAGGGCTGTTGTAAGGGTTCTTTAAAATGGCACTCTCCCAACACGAGGCATTGGATTTAATGTCTAAATTCCAACAGGACGTGGTTGCGTAACTATACATCCCGCAAAGCCAAACGGGCGCCACACTTAAGGGTTTAATTGCCAGATAGAAGCCCAAGGATGACTATATTTCCATACCCGAGTCAACCTTTTAGGTCTGTTAGCTGTAAAGCTACAGAACGAAGTTGCTTGTTTAAAATTTCGAGTCATAACTACGACAGTAATTTGTTTTTATGTGTTTCATGACTTGTCACCTAAACTTGCTATAAATAAATGGATGAAAGAATATATGAAGCAGGGAATGCTTATCCTTCCAAAACACTTAATAAGTACATTTTTTTATTTCAGTGTCTTGATGCTGCTCAATTTAGTTTTTGGTGTAATATTTTGGTGACCATGTGAGTTTTTTTTAGCTTCATTTCTTTTGAACATTATGTTGTTTATCCATATTTTTTCTGGTCCTCATCGGTATCACTTATCAACAAGAAAGTCAATATCGTTATATCAATATCGTTGACTTTCTAGACATCAATTAACATCTTCGCTGTCAATCAGTCAGGGAAATGTTGACATAACAATAAAGTGAATAGTTATGTTATTTCCATAAAACGAATCATATGACAAACGTGACAAATATTACTAATTGTCATGGTTAAAGTAGGACAACTCATTTTCGAACACTGTCAAATACAAACGCATAAGTATCATATGTATGTTTGTCGCATACGTAAAAAAAAGTTTTGTGTCGTCGCGAAATATCAAGTTATTCATGATTCATACGGTTTGTACAATTTTTAATATATTTTCTGTTGAGGCTTTTGAATATCAGTGCCATGATAAGTCATTAGTAAGTCGGGTAATGTTTACTTTGACTTTATTCTGGTGCATTTCTGTATGAATTCAACTACTTCGAATTCTTTCCGATCATCCTTTAAATATAGTTTTCTTATTTACATTTACATTCCAGAATTTTTCAGAACAATTTAAAACATAAATACTTTGATATTGCATCTATTAATACAAGATTCATGCATTTTTTCCAAGACCTACCGACCATTACGAAATACGTTATTCTATTTTAGGTGCATGAATCTATTTTATTTTGATATATTAGAGATAAAGAGAGACATTAATACGAACTAGACCTTGCAAAGTTTAATTTGAATACTCTGTACAAAAAACACTTAATTATTTACATTTTCAACGTCTTTTCATCTTACAATCCTATACAGAAAATAATGTTAACCTCTTAAATTTATAGACGCAAATTTCACAGAATAGTGCACATGTATACAAATCTCTTTGTAGCTTCTAAACACAATGTTTTATATAAATATGTTAAGTAACCTGTCACTGCCGTTGTCCAAGAAAACAAGATTATCATCCATGTCTCGCATTCTGTGGAGTTAGTCCAACGAAAGACAAAAAGCCAATTCAAAATACAATGAAAACTCAATAAATCCACACACACACAAACATCTTAACCCATGCCAAAAACCCTAATTTCTAAATAAAATGTTTTGCAATTAGAGAAAAACTAATCACTACTTATGTTTTATTTTATTTTCTATTTCTAGTTTTCTTGCTATGGTCGACAATAAAGTTATTCAGAAGCCAAAAGGATAGAGAAGCCTCTTCTGGAAAATTAGCTTGGTTCAGAAATAGCCTAGTAGATTTAGAAACGAGGATTATGACAGCAGACTCACAAGTAGTGTCAACGGCACTGGGTCCTATAGGAAAAAAATTAGGTGACCTAACTGGTATTCAAATATTAAACAAACCAGATGGAATATGTTTTGATTTGTGCATGTGAGATCACAAAGTTCGTCCATATGACATATCATCCTACTCAGACACCTAATTCTGACTTTGAGCTGCATAATTTTGGAGGTCTTATTTCTAATAGGTATGTTGTGTGCTTGGTGAAGAAGCAGCTCTATGAAATGCCATTTGTATTGCTTTGCCTAGACCCATTGTGAATTTAAGTACAGAATGAGTCAATGAAAAAATTAACTGTCTCTTTAGAAACATGTTGTGCAAGATCAACAAATAAAAGAACATTTTGTCTCATGACGAGAAGTAGCTGCAAAGAGACAGCTTCACTCTTTTTATTATATACTATCATCAGTAAGAAATCATTTCCTTGCAAGGCGAGAAACTTTTTAATTTTAAGCCCTAAGGGCATTATTTGCAACTGTTTTAGTCTATTCTAGTATCAGCAGGTTTGTGCTTTTTGAAGATTGTATTCTGCATTCTTTGATGAAGCTTTTATTCATGTAATTCCCCATACAACCATTTAACTTGGTTTATCAGATCCACAGTAATAAAAGAACAGAGTTCCAATATTCCCAGTGTTGCACATATTTATCTATCCAAGGGCAATAACTAAAAAATACTCTTTTTTTTCTTTAAATTTTTTTATAAATATCTTAGAGAAATGAAGGCTTGAGAGCAAATACAATGCAATTATATAAGTAATACTTCCAAGGGCCGTAACTCTTTTGACAATATTTAATTTTTGTTCTTGTCCGCGACATTGCTTATATAAATCTAGCAAAAAGTGTACATATGAGAGCGCTTACAAAGCATTCTTCCAAATAATTAATATTTTAAAGGGGCATAACTCTTTTAAAAATAATTGATTGGAACTAATTTTTGAACTTGTTCGATACGTTGCTGATACAAACCTATGATACAAGTTTTATAAAAATCTGGCAAGAATTGTATACGTGAGAGTGCTAACAAGACTGGACCAGCAGACACACGGATGGACAGATGGACACCTGGTATTTCTATTTCCGCTGCAATGCATCGCACAGGGGACAATGACTTATAAAGTACCATAAAAGTAACACATCAGTAATACTTGATTGAATTAGTAGGTTTTTTCTGTACTTTTTACCTTCTTTTGCTTATCTTTTGTATGTCACTGAAATATCTTTACTCAGCAACCTCTATCTATTTCTACTTTCTTTTACAAATATACATGATTTCATAGCACTTCATGTTAACCTTTAGATGATTTTTGGAATAATTTTGTCGTTGCAATTTTTGTCTCTTTGGGGTACACCCAATAATAGCATGTATTGATATTTCCTTGACAACCACATTTGCCAAAGTATATCCTAATTCTTGCTTTTCTTTCTCTGTTTTCCAAGTTTCACATTGAAATCTCAAAGCAGGACACCATTTTCAAATGTGGATATCTTGGTTTGAATCTTCCAAGAAACCTAAATCACTCACTTAAATCTAAGTTGCCTCAGGTGACAAGATACCTTAGCAATCAAGAGTGACCATGTTTGGATAACAGAGTATGGGTAAATAGGGGCACTGCTAGAGGTCACATTCAAGAATATTTCATTAATTTAAGTTTCATTAGTTCAAAATACTTGACAATTATATATCTTTTACCATCATATTATATTCGTATCAACAGCACCGTCGTAGGACGGTGGAAAGTATAATAGACATGCATTATAACCAAGACACCAGTTCAATTTTAGTTAAAACTGGCCTAGAGGTTGTACAGTTTGTCTCTTTGTACCATTGAAGATGCAAAAGCACATTTCATTCAATTCTTTTACCTATGCCTCAATGTGTTTTACAGTCGTTCATAAACATTCTGCACCATATAAGGAAGGAAGGAAAGACAAATAAACAAGGATCCCCCTATTTCAGAGAAGATATTTCAAAAGGGTTACAACAATGACAAAAAAAGTGATGGCAATAGCTCAAAGGGCTAAAAGCAAGAATGAAGACCTAATTGTTATATTCATTAGTTATGATGTATAACAAACCAACAAATGAAAAAAAAAAATACTGTTATTTCTGTGTTTAGAAACAGATATTCTTTAGGTATTCATGCCATTAACAATCATATGATATAGCTGTTAAAGGACAAAGATGTTGGTACAAAACTTATAAAATAACTTCCGTTAACTTATAATGGGATATGTCCCACAAAGTTTTCATTTTTAGCATGCTGATAGTGATAGTTTAAAAAGAGATACATCAATATATATGCAGAAAAAATGGTACTACCAAATCTCCATTTCACTTTGGAAGCACTTTAAATGTAGCTTTTATCCACCGATTTATAGATGAAACATATTTCAAAATTTTTACTGCATGTTTGTGAAAATTTTATCTACGCACCTTTTGAATTCCCATGCGTAATTTTTCACAACGGTTCCAAAATTCTTTTACTGTATATACTGGAGTATAAGTAGATCTGCTCATAAGTTGATTAATGTTTTCATGTAAAAATTCCAAGACTTTCACCTTGACACTACTATAAGTAGGTTTGACCTTTGCTATTGCTGCAAATTTAAAATTAGCTGATGCATTTTTGCAGGTGTTAAAGTGAATTATCTATTCTGACAAGATTAAGACAAATTTATTCTCTCTGAAAACCCTGACAATATATTTTGTTTCATCCCAAAACATGCAGTTTGTGTTTTTGTTTTTCCTATGCTTCACTAGGTTCTTACTGTTTTTCATAAACTTTCATGGTCTATTATACACATTTCTGCCTCATATAAGGAAGTAAAGACAAACAAACAACAGATAGATCCATAGATAGAAATGTTGACTTTTACTTGACCTTGATTTTGGGAATAGTTTTTTAAACAAATAAATATAAGAAAGCAATGACATTTCTTTATTTAGAATTTTTCAGTTTAACTCTTTCTTTTTTAATAACAAAGTTTGGATTTTTACTAATTTTCTTATTCAGTTTAGCAAAAATTCTTTCATCTGACTTGGAGGAACCAACTTGAGCTTGATACTCACACAAAACCTGAAAAAATAAATAAAATTTTTATCAATATGTTTATTCATATATTTTCACTGCTGCATATGAAAGGCAAATATTACTTAATGATCAGGGCAACAGATATAGTAAGTATGTATATCAATCATGTCAATAATCCAATCACTTTTACAGCCGATTTCTTTGAGTGTGTAGGAATAGGTATTGTCTTTGATTAGCTTGCTTGCTAGCTGAACCATGAAGTCATTATTAGGTTAGGTAAACTACCCTCCTTTATGAGTAGACTAGTCCCACAGATAACCAATTCTATCTGTCTGTCGGACTAGTCTACTCATAAAGGAGGGTAGTTTACCTAACCTAATAATGACTTCATGGTTCAGCTAGCAAGCAAGCTAAGCAAAAGATATTACCTTTTCCTACACACTCATTGAAATCGGCTGTAGTGTTTTCAACTACCTACAGAAACATAGAAACAAGCATATTGATAAGCTATACTGTGTGACAAATTTTCAGATCTGTCACTTATCATCTTTCTGTTTGCAGCATACATCAATATTCTTCACATTATTTCTAAAATCACAGTATACCACATGTCATGTTTTTGATACTCAAGCTTTGGGAAAATTGATAACCAGTTGAATAAATATGTGAAAAATTTAAACACTTTTAATTACATCCAAAAGGTATCTTTTCCATGCAACATTATTTTTTTTTAGTTATTCTAGTTACTTATTAATTATGTGAAGGGGTTTAATCAATCTTTATATTCTGACGTTTTTCATACCTTCTTTTTCAGTTTTTTCAATGATATTTCTCCTTTACTAGTCAACACTTCTGTTATTGTCTGTTCCCAGTTGAACTTTTTCTTTGGACTATTTTCCTCCATTTCATCATCATTCTCCTCTGTGGTTGAATTTAATGTTTTATCTGTAATCAAAATTCAGAAATGGATACTGCAAAACCATCATGAGATATACATATTCACAGATTTTCATTCAATTATTTTCTAAAAACTTGAAAAGGGAGTCATGTTTGTTATTTTATATTGTTATACTGAAGTGCAATGGACTACATAAACTATATTTTCAATGCTTTTCATGCTGATGTAGAAGTCAATTTGTTTGTTAGAAGCAGTTTTTCGAGTTTAGCCATGATGGAGTGTGGCATTCTCTAAATACACACAGGTCCACAGATAGATTCTCAGTATTATAATATTACGGTAATTGGGAACAAAGTAAAGATAAAATGTTAACGCAGAATTATATCCACATGCAGAAAATCAAAGTATGCTACTAGTGCTACAGACATACATAGACAATAATGAATGCAAATGTATATACTACATTTTACTATAAAACAAATCTTGTCATAATAACTGCACATCTGTAGATTTTAAACTAGCCATCACACGTCATAAATATAGTCCATCGCACATCAGCGAATGGATTGAACTTTAACGTCCCCATCACACCTCAGAGTCCTACATATTTATCATTGCTGATAATAAATTAAACCCCAGAATCTACTTTAGGGCTGATCAGTACAGCTTGTTTGGTGTGTTTAATTTTTTTAACAATTGCATCAAAATTTGTTCTTTTGAAATTTAGATAACTCAACTTAGATGTTTAAATTTATCCAATTCATTTCCAGCATATGACAAACATTATTTTTCTTTAAAAATTGCTAACATCAATTTTTTCCAACATGCTTACCTTCCTCTTTTTCTTCTATGTGAGGTTTTTTCACTTCAACTTCTTCAATTTCTTCCTCTGTATCTTTTCTTTTTCTTTTCTTAGATTTCTTTTTATTAGATTTTTCATCGTTTTCAGTAGAACTGTCAGTTTTATCATTTTCAGAACATTTTTTGCTTTTACTATCCGATTTTTTTGCTTTCACAGTATTTTCATCTTTATTTTTTACTCGTTTTCTTTCTGCTTTTCTTTCTTTTTTTGACAGTTCTTTAAGTTGTTCATTGTTTGTAACATTTCCGTTTACATTGTTTTCTTTTTGCGATCCATTTTCAGCACTGTTGACTTCTTCTTCCTTTGGAGGCACTGGTTTTGGCTATTTTTTTCAAAATAAAACATATCTACTTGGTAAATTTATTCAAAACAAGAGTGCACACATTGAAATGTCTCGCCTGCTTTACTAATCATGTTTGAATATATGTTTAAAGTCTTTAAGATAAAAGATTCTACTACAGGTAGAACATAAACTTCACATTTTCAATAATCTGTCAAACTGAGGTCAAGGTCAGGTGAAACCTGCCAGATGGACATTTGCACCTTACAATCATTCCATTCACCAAATATAGTTGACATATCATTTATAGTATCTGACAAATGGATCTACCAAAGAAAACTAAACATTGAACAATGAATCATGAAAATGATGTCAAGGTCAGATGACCACTGCCAAATGGAAATTAACACTTTATAATCATTCCGTACATCAAATATTGTTGACCCTCTGCTTACAGTATCTGACAAATAGATCCACCAATGAAAACTAAACATTGAACAATGAATCATGAAAATGATGTCAAGGTGAGATGAACCCTACAAGCATTTTATATACCAAATATAGTTGACCTATTGCTTATAGTATCTCAGAACAGACCTAACCAGGAAAACTTAACAAATATGATATTGAAGAGTGCATCTACCCTATAATCACTTTATAATTGTAGATCCATAGTGTTTTCTTATATTTTTACATGAATACACTGTAACAAGGTAAATTTATTCACAACTTGTCTCTTTTTGACAATTTAAAGCTTGCATACCGCAAAGACTCTTCTATTGTTGAAGACTATATAGTGCTCTCTAGATGACTATTCTGATTTGATTGTGTTTTTTTGTGATGAATAATTATATATCACTACTGTACACACAATATTTTTTTCTATTAGTCCCCTACCAGTGAAGTCTGTTGGACAGATGGTCACACTAAAGAATTCCATACTTTTTCTGTAATGCTTCAATCTATTGATTAGAAATTTGGTGTGAAGTCATATAATATGAAGTTACAGATTTATTGAAGACATGATCCAGTTGGAACAATTTTATGGAAGTTGTTGTCCTTGAACAAAGAAAACTGGTTGAAAGCTTCTACTTGTTGTAAAATATTGAAATTCAACAGTTAAATGGAAAAATTTAGTATCTCAAGCTATGCAGACTTTGAATATTTTCAGACTGCTTTTTCATAAATGATTAAAAGATTAAAACTAAGATTTAGGAAAAATAAACATATGATTTCAATTTTAGCGTATAATGTCTTTCAACTGTTCAAGTCATTTAAATACCTGTTCTGTATTGGCTAACAGTAAATCCCAAACTTCACCAACCAATCTTCTATCTCTGACATTCATACTGTTACTAACAAAATTCTGGAAATATTAAGAGCAATTCAGACTGTTAAGAAGAGACCTTTCCTCAAAATACTTTTAGTTCAATATATCGCTGCAATCAGGCGATATTGCTTAATGACTGCAGTTATAAGATAAAACTGATGTCAAAGAACATGGAATTCAAATATGATGCAAGATATGACAAACTCCTAACATATACATGATATATGCATTGTTATTCTCAAAATCAAATCAGTGCATTTTATTTTTCAACCATAAGAAACCAAAACTGATACTGATGATGATTAAGATTTCAATGAATCTTCTTCACTTCTATGAAATGGATTAATATATATAAACTAGCAACTTGTTTCTGAATACTATTATTGATTCAACTGTAATTATATGTTACTCATGGGTTACTCATTTCCAAGGATTTTGTGGCTAGGTGAACTACAAATTCAAATACTCTAGAGTAATACAATTTCATATAGGCTTGTGTGCAGAATTTCTCCAAACCACAGAATCAAGTATCCACAAAAACACAATTTTCACAATTCGACGCAAATTGGTAGCCATGAAAGAAAATGAATCCATAGTAATAAAATATGTTTAGACTAGAGCTTAAAGTTTTCTGTGTATACAATAACAGGCCTTTAAACTTCCAGCATTTAATGATAAACTGTGGTAATTGCGTCATTTTGAGATCTTCCAAAAAATATTTCGTTCACAAATGATCAACAGCTCAGCATTTATATTCAAAAAGATATTTTACAACACGATATTTTATCAACAGATGTTGAAGTGAGTCAAACATCTTGGAATAGGACTACTGCTCGTTTTATGCAATATAGACCTCTTGTTGGTCAAATATTTCTTCAATTATAACTTCCTTATGATGTCACAGTGACATAACAAATAACAAGTCTGCACTAAATCATCATACCAATCTCCTAAAAACTTAAAAATAATTTTGAAATGATCTTGATGATCAAAGTAATTCACTTTTTGTAATTTTAGTTTCTCACAATATTCATTTTCTAATTAAACTATCAAAAATTTGAAATGATATGTGCAATTTTTTGGACTAAATTCTGGTACATATCACATCCCTCCTTTTTTAATAAATAAAAGGTTTGTTTGTGTATTATTTATTATATGTCTCTCAATACGACCAATGCAATATTAATACACTTTATATTTAACAAGATATTGATACATACTTCAAATTTTGCTTTTTTCCTTGGAATATTAGGATAATCTTTCATTCTTTCCAACACTCCTTTCAATCTTGGATTGGTTATACATTTGTCAATAGCTATCTGAACTTTCTGAAATCAGTACATCATAAATTAATTTAACTTTTGGTATAACATTTTAATTTAAATGACCTCAAATGTCTATCAATTCTTTTCAATTTGAAGATAAACATTAAAATCTTCCATTTTTCACATGTACAAAGCTAAACAAAATTTTTTTTACCGTTCTCATGCCTGTACCTTCTCTATTGTAGGTGTCAGATAGCTGTCAGATTTAATTATTTTTGTCAATATAAGAAGGACCATAAATACAGTTCTATTTATATCTCCTAAGAAAATTATTCCCATTTATTATTAGTTTCATGCCATTTTTGTAATGTGTGCTCAAATATTTGAGAAGTTTCAATAAATTCAAGTTTATCTCTTTAGTATGACTGTTGCTAACATTTCTATGGCATACGATGAATTTTATTCTAGAAAAAAAATATTTTGTGCACACAAATCATATCATTATACTTTTCCCAACATTTGTAAGTTTTTTTCCCTAGCTGACATCATCTGTTTGACTACATACCTCTAGCCAATGTTCTTGTTTGACTACATACCTCTAGCCACTGTTCTTGTTTGACTACATACCTCTGGCCACTGTTCTTGTTTGACTACATACCTCTAGCCACTGTTCTTGTTTGACTACATACCTCTAGCCACTGTTCTTGTTTGACTACATACCTCTAGCCACTGTTCTTGTTTGACTACATACCTCTAGCCAATGTTCTTGTTTGACTACATACCTCTAGCCACTGTTCTTGTTTGACTACATACCTCTGGCCACTGTTCTTGTTTGACTACATACCTCTGGCCACTGTTCTTGTTTGACTACATACCTCTAGCCACTGTTCTTGTTTGTGTTCTTGTTTGACTACATACCTCTAGCCACTGTTCTTGTTTGACTACATACCTCTGGCCACTGTTCTTGTTTGACTACATACCTCTAGCCACTGTTCTTGTTTGACTACATACCTCTAGCCACTGTTCTTGTTTGACTACATACCTCTAGCCACTGTTCTTGTTTGACTACATACCTCTAGCCACTGTTCTTGTTTGACTTCTCCTTTATTAGCATTAGCTTTTGGTTTATAGTTCTTCCCTGAATACTTTTCTTCCTCACTTATACATTTTATGTGTTCTACATAAGAATCTCCCCTGAAATTAATAAAATAGTAATAAGGATTATTTTTCCACAATAAAATAAAATGCATTCTAAATTTTGACAAATCTTTTAAAAGAAATCTCTCCTACATTTTACACTTTGCAGCTATTTTATTCCAGAAGACACCATAATCATATTTCCCATTTCATCCAAAAAATGTTGCATCAAGAACTTTCCACAATGTTTATATAGTTGACATGAAGTTATGCCTTAATGTATACTGACACTAAAATAAGCTGAGTTTATGGGTTTTGTTCATTGTTGAAGGATATATGTTAACCTATAGTTGTTAAGTATAGGTTGTCAGTTGGTCTCCAGTGGAGAGTTGTCTCATTGGCAATCATACCACAACTTTTATTTTTTTTATATTGAGCTTAATTTAATTTGTCTTTTAAATCTAAATTAGCTCCATAACACAGATCAGTCCACCTAAAATTGCCCATTTTTCCCCCGTTTAGAATATTTGACAAAGGGAGACAACTCTAAACAAAAAATAAACCTATGCAAATGCATGTATACCCACCAGAAATCTTTTCTGCAATCAACACATGATACATGTATATTACAGTTACAACATCGTGTCTAAAAAAAAAAAGTTTCTCACTTTTCCCCAGTCTAGAATTTTTGACAAAGGGAGACAACTCTAAATAAAAATAAACCCATGCAAATGCATATATACCCACCAGAAATCTTTTCCACAGTCAACACATGATATCATATTACAGTTACGACATCGTGTCTGAAAATGTTTCTCTACTTGATTCTTTTTCAGCGATTCATTACACTGGCTACAAGTAAACACGACCATCTCAACCTCTGAAAAAAATGAAAACAATATGTTTTAAATTTCATGCATCCTAAGCACTTTTCTGGATTTACCTTCATCAGGAACGCTCAAAGCCGAATATTTGAAAGCGAAGGATGTGTAAGAACCGAAAAAGTTGGAGCTTCGAGACCAAAAAGAACCTAACAAAATAGCAAAATCCATCTAAGGTCAACTTTGCCTGAAAACTTAGTATATGAATGATTTATTATATTTCCACATGTTTATTATAATTAAATTACCATGCCCTAAATGAACACACTGAAAAATTTTGTAAAGCTCATTTATAGATAAATCTTTATCTAATCATGCTAATGGGCTACCTGTGTATGGTCACAATATACATGAAAGAAAGAAGACATATAATTAATCATTAACATGATTAATGTACAAAGAAGAGCATCAAGAATGCTACCTTAGATAAAGAACTTAAATCACAAAGAAGTATTGTTTATAGGGTATCGTGTATAGGGTAAATTGAAATACTGACACATGAGATGAGATAAGATTGAAACATCCAAGATATCATAACAACCAGACTATATGGTAAATGAGTTACCACCAATATATCTCAGCATCGAATACCCAAGAGAACACACATTGGAAAACCACCAAATAATGTATGACTTCAACTCAGAATATGGACCACTTAGCATGCTTAGTGAATAATAAATGGGTTACACTTCTTTAATAAAGGATATTATTATTTTTTTCAATTACTAGTAAAGTTGATGAGAATGCAAGCTGCCTATAGAGGACCAAATGGTGTGCATACTGAGCATGCTGAGGACATAATCTATCTATCTTCATATGTCTGTGCTTGGTCATACATGTACTGATGTAGCTTTAACTTTGATGTTGTTGTTGCATGCAGTATACAGTGTAATCTGATATTGAAAAGTATCTTACAATTTTGTGTCATTATCTAGCAAAGTCTCATCAGTTTCCAAAATAACATTTGGTTAACATGGTTAAACAGAGAATCAATAGAAAAGAAAGGTTATGGGGTATCCATCCCAGACATAAAATCAGAACAAGCACTGCAAAAAACACAATAGCAAAGGAACAGCGCTTGCATTGCTGTTCTTCAACTCAATTAAGTCACAGTGAGGCCTTCAACACAAAACAAAAACAAGATTGTTTGTTGCCTAATTGTCGCCCTAACATAATAAATAGAGAATCAGTATTAGGGAAGGACCATTTGATATGGCCAAGAAGATTGTTTGCAGATTGAATCTTCATTATTTTTTTCTGGAAGAATCCCCAAATCCATGCATAAGCAGTCAGGGGACTTACTGAAATGAGTGATTTATAAATCACTCATTTAAGTACAAAAATGCAGCAAATTAGAAAATCTGTCATTTTGTAGTTTTACCAAAATTTCAAACATTACAGGTTTAGATCATATCTAAGTATTAGTAAAATTGAAAAAAATGAACTTTTTGCTTTTTTTTATAGCAAGGTTTATGCGTTTTATGCAATCATTCAGCTATAAATTTGATATTTGTTGAAAAATGCTAAAATAAAGGCTCTTAATAATGAACTAATACTTTCTTAACAGATTTTTCCCAGGAATGGGAGTAATTTTACTGTTCGCAATCAAAATTTCACTGTTCGGGGGTGTTGAAATTAGTGGGAGTAATTAAAATAATTATACTTAAAGAAGTGATTTTTTGGAAGAAAATAGAGGTATGATACTTAAACAAGTGATTTTCATGTCATTATCCCAGATTCAGTACAAGGTCATCACCTGACATGACCAGTCATCCTATCAACACAGATGTTGGTTCTGATAATTATAGCAACATAATTAGTCTCTGGATCATTATAGTATTGTATACAGTACGCACAGAGAGTTTGTAATCGCGAACTCTAATCACGGATTTCGGAGTGTAGCGGTGTCACACCGCGAATCACGGATTATACTCCCAATTTTCTCCAAAGATTCTCTCCAAACACCGCGTGGCTGTTAATTGGTTTATTGCCCATCGGATGTACTGAAAATTAATGACGTGTGACAACATAATCGGATTAGCCAGATTTATTACCTTTGTACATTTAATCGATCTTGATTGCACCTGTGTGCTTTAAAACACGGTATTAAAATTTCCTTTCATTGACAGATAAAAATGTGACATTTTCATTTAAAATAAGATAATTATTCTGGTATGTATTTGCCCCATGTCATTGTCATTTGAAATAAAACGTACAAACGTATAAAAATATGAATAAAACACTTATTTTGTATTTTTATTATAGTCCGGTTTGTTTTTTCAACAAAGACGATTTTACTACAATTAGAATCTTTTATGACCTACTCAGTGAGCAATATCCGGTTCATTAATTGTTCAATATATAAATATCAACTGGCTTAAAACAAAATGATGTTTTTACGGTAATTTGTCCAATCTAAACCCAAGAGTTAATTTATCGGATCAACAAGTGAACTCTGTTACTTTCAAATTGTTTTGCAATGTAAAATATTATGTTTCACTACCTCGGTAGATTACCGACTTGAAATATTTGAACTCAGAAAAGAAACTGTAAAGCGACAACTCTGTTGAAAGAAGGGAAAACGTTTTGTATGAAGAAAAAAAAATCATGTGTTGTTTATCTCTGTTATGATCTGTTATTGATCCTTTATTATTTAAAATAAAATTGGATGGGCGCAATCCATATTTTACTGCTCGTTAAAAGTCCTTGGCGAAATAAAAAAAAGAAGTATTTCAACAATTAATACTATAGAATATTTAAATGAAATTATATCGTGTTCTACAAGAAAGAAATATGTGAAAAAAATGTGGATCGGATTTTTACGATCTACACGTTTTCACAGAGGATCTCTACCAACACCCAACAGGAACTGACCGACATGCATCCTGTTTTCATCTACCATTTATGTATATTGTTGACCATGGACGTATAAATAATGTCCAGGTTTATGTCCTGTGTTGACTGAGAAACGTAAAATTAAAAGGCTGGTGTTCGTTTATTCAGAAAAGGATTATATTTTAGATTCCGGTTAATCAATTGTAAAAGGACCTTCTAGAGCCTCAATCTTAAGGCATACAAATGTCAATCATTCCAAAGCAAATTTAAACCCCGAATGAATTTTCCCATGGTCATCCAGAAAGGTCACCTGAGTTTACTTTTACATGATAATATTTCCCGCCAAATAAAAATCTCGTGGACAAAATTGATGTCACTATTTTTAGCATTCAATACTGTGAGCGAAGTCAAGTTCAAAGTTCAACCACGGACTGTTGATCACTGAGATGTGTATCGTCTTCCCACGGCAATTAATTTCTTTTAAAAAATTTAAAAATCACTGTCCTTTATACAACACACAAGTTTACATCATGAATATTATGCAACGACGAGTTGATGCAGCTATAGAAGTATTCCTGTTGTAGCCGAAATGTAATTATTTATCCTAAAGTAATGCCAACAAATCGTAAAGAGAAAATGCCGTAGACTTATTAAGCATAACGAATGGTGAATAGTATTTTCTTTTTTACTTGCATATACAAATTTTGAGACACGTAATTTTCTTTAAACTGCTCACTTTTATATTCAGCGTTAGTTTCCGTTTATTTTTACGCAAGTATGTCTCTTTTCGTAAATAAAATAATTTACCGATGAACTTAAACAAGGTCAAAATCAAGTATAGTTTTTGTTATAAAACTTTAATGCAATTGAAAGAATTAACAACAACATTCTGCTTTTAAATCTTTAATTTGTTTCAAGCAATTATGTAATCGTAAAATGAAAATGGCGTGGACTTATAAGCATAATAAATAGTGAATAATATTTTCTTTTTTACTTGTATACAAAACTTTGAGACATGTAATTTTCCTTTAAACTGCCCACATTTATTCAGCGTAAGTCTCCGTTTATTTTTACACAAGTATATCTCTTTTGTAAATTAAATATTAATTTACTGACCAGAAAAAAAACGAGGTAAAAATCAAATATATTTTTTTTTTAATTAAACTATTTTTAAATGTACAGTGTAATTGAAAGAATTAACAACAACGTTTTGCTTTTAAATCTTTTATTTGTTTCAAGCAATCAGAAATATAACCTGATAATCAATAGACAGGAAATACAATTGTTTAATTACATAAGTAATCTCACATACCTTGACTGTCGCGTGCCGGTATAGATCAGAAGGATTAGGGCAATTAATTACCTGGTGTGACACAGCGTCACACCGGACTGGGAGAGATGTCGCTAATACAAAAAACAAAAGGTGGCGAATTTACGCGGAAGTTGGAGGGAATACTCACAAAGTTCTCCGAGAATTTAGGGAGGGATGTCGGAGTTTCCTGGTGTCACACCAAGAAAAAACTTGGTGTTCGGAGTTTGGGAAGCCTTTCGGGAAATTTGTACTGTATATAAAGCTTCAATAAAATTAAATCACTTAGTCATGCAGGTTATTTATTTGTACTACTTAAATAGGTGATTATTAAAGAAAGACAACTCTTACTTCCAGCATTTCTCAATTCCAACCGACATTTTCAACAAGACAGAATCTACAACAGCTAGAACAACTTTTAGTCAGATCATTTGCAGGAATTGGAAATTCTATCAATTCTGTGATATTTGTTAGGGAAGGGGGAGGGGTACTTGGACTCATCGCTACATGACAGATGCGTAGTGTTATATTGTCCATTGGACGGTCAAGCTGACAGGTTTTTAAATATTCAAGTAAAAAAATGTATACACTTATTATATATCACCTGGGAACAGTATATCTAACATATATATGTTCCTGATATCACTTATCTATACATGTACATGAAAATTTGAAAATTATTATCAAAACGTTTGGGCACTCTGAGTTTGTCATGTTATGGTATCACTATGTAAAGGTTATGTATGAAGAATTGAATATACAACACACCTTACCAAGTAATTCAAAACGAGAAAATGCTTGTTTTTCTTAACTCAAAATAAAATGAACATGTGGCGGAAGTTGTCAATGGGATTCTAAATACAAATCTTTATCGGATTATATGCAATTCCGCGTTTAATTTTATTTAAGAAAGTTCGTTCTTAAAAGATTTGTATAAATGGCAAAGAAGGAGATTAATCATTTTGACAAATTTTATCTAATCTATCTTTCTGGTGGCATGTCATTATTATTTAAAAGTAAAATGAACTTAAAATTTAATTTCGTATTAGTCCCGTTCCTACTTCGATTTATCAAATAGAAATGGAGATGAAAAACAGCACAGAAAATGTAGAAATACAGCTTATAGACGAACTAAAAGTAATGAAGGAACAGATAAACAGACCAATATAATTTGGTCACAAGTTTGCTGATAAATTTTTATTACACTTCTAAATTCTACACATTTGCACATATATATACCCTATCACATCTGTCACTCATAAATCATGAACAGATGAAATGACATAATACAACAACCCATAATCTGTACATTAATATGTATGGTACAGTTTCAAAACTACAATTTCATGTATCTGTTAAATGGTAGTCATCTGTTACATTTCCCTCATGTTGAAAAAACTCTAGAAATCTGGAAATCAGATACTTTAATATTCTAAATAAAATTTATACATGTATGATGAAGCCTAGTCCAAATAATTATGACATCTTGAATGGCTATTATATTTTTTTGCTTTGACTCCTTACAGCGAATTTTTTGCTTTGAAGTATTACTGCGACACTGTAAGGCGTCAAAGCAAAAAAATATAATAGCCTTTCAAGACGTCATAATAATTTGGACTAGACATGCTACATGTAGATGAAGCCAAAACACAATTTAGGTAAATAAAATCAAAAAGGCAATTATTTTTTCTTCCAGGGAAAGGGCTTGTTTGCAAAGAAGAACATCAACAAAGGTGATGTTATTTTTGAAGAGACACCGATTATTTCCACACAGTTTCTATGGAATGAGTTGTACAAATACAAAGCATGTGAATACTGTATGAAATCATTAGAAACAGCAGAAGAACAGGCACGTAGATTGTCAACAAATCCGCATTTAAGTCTTCCACATCCAGAATGTGATATTACTGATCAGACACCATATGTGGATTGTCCTGGTTGTCAGGTAACTTAATTGTACAAAGATTAATTGATTTTTGAAATTGAGAATGGAAATGGGGAATATGTCAAAGAGACAACAACCCGACCAAAGAGCAGATAACAGCTGAAGGCCACCAATTGGTCTTCAACGCAGCGAGAAAATCCCTCACCTGGAGGTGGTCCTCAGCTGGCCCCTAAATAAAATTGTGTACTGGTTCAGTGAAAATGGACATCACACTAAACTCCAAAACATATAAAGGAACAAAAATAAAAAAAACATAAAAGACTAACAAAGGCCAGAGGCTCCTGACTTGGGACAGGCGCAAAAATGCGGCGGGGTTAAACATGTTTTGTGGGATCTCAACCCTCCTCCTATACCTCTAGCCAATGTAGAATAAAGAAACACACAGTAAAACTCAGTTTAAAAGAAGTCCGAGTTCGATGTCAGAATAGGTAACAAAAGAAACTAAGCAAAATGACAATGATACATAAATTAACAAAGGACTACTAGCAGTTACTGACATGCCAGCTCCAGACCTCAATTAAACTGATTGAAAGATTATGTCTTCATCATATGAAAATCAGGTACAATCCCTCCCATTAGAGGTTTAGTATCATACCACTATAAAATATATGAGAAGAACATAACCCGTATCATGCCAACAACTGGTTTTAGAATAATTGTGTTTATTTCCGATGCAAAGACCCTATGAGTGAATCAATATTAATACCAAAATATGCAATCCTTAATGATCTGACAACAGTATCGTAACTATATCCTTTCCGAATAAGTCTGTTTAAAGGTTTGGTTAGCTTTTGAGGTGAATGCCGACATTTTTGTGCTTTGTAAAGAATATTACAATAAAATATTGGATGTGAAATACCTGAATGTATAAGATGTCTGCATGTTGATTTATATTTACGAATGATGTCCTTGTACCGATGATAAAATTTAGTAAATGTTTTGACTAGTTTGTGATATCGAAAACCCTGGTGTAATAATTTTTCAGTAATACAGAGATTTCTTTCATTGAAATCAAATACGTTGCTACATACACGAGCGAATCAAACAAGTTGAGATATATAAACACCATAAGATGGTGACAAGGGAACATCACCATCTAAAAATGGATAATTAACAATAGAAAATGAAAAATCATCTCTTTTATCATAAATTTTGGTATTAAGCTTCCCATTAAAGATATAGATATCAAGATCCAGGAAAGGGCAGTGTTCATTGTTAGTATTAGCTTTATTTAAAGTCAGTTTGGTAGGATAAATCTTTTTGCTTACTTAATCCAGTAACAATTATTTCATGAGTATTCTTGATGAGAAACTATTAACATTAAAATAGGTAGGTCTGGACAGGGATAAAGGGCAGGAAATTGGAACCGCCACTGGAAAACAATGGTATGTTGGATAGGGGTAGAAGTTTTGCTTTGTAACAGGCTACCTATAGACCTTCAAAGAGTTTTTCAAGGGTTCTTTACAAAGACATCTTCTATATTTGCTGCATTTATTTTCGTGGATACCAATTTTCTTGGATTAAAGAAAAACTTTATTTTCCGTGGATATTTGATTTTTGGAAAGATTGGAACTTGTTCTAAATCTTTCCTAAGGCACTGGCCTCCCTAACAACAAGTAATTAAGCACAGATTAACTACTAAATCTACAAAATGTATACACACTGAAATATAGTTCCCTATAATTCTCATATCTGAGCACATATGCACATATAAACTGAAAAATTTGGGTATATTTTTGGTGCAGTTCATTCAAGTATGTATGTCTTTAAAGTGTGTTGATATGCAGGCTTTTTTATCATTTTGATTAGGTAATTGAGTAATGATCCATTACTACTATGATTGACAACTGTCATGATCACTAAACAATAACAGACAAGGTGGGGCCTTATTTACAATGCCCCACCTCCTTAAATGCCAATCATATTGACCACATTACAAATCAACCTCAGTCTTACATAATTATACAGACCCTTCAATATATATCTCAATATACTCTCAATACACAAATATTTGACCTCATAATTGAATACACAAAATAAAATTGAGAATGGAAATGGGAAATATGTCAAAGAGACAACAGCCAGACCAAAGAGCAGACACAGTATATATTAGATGTTTGATATATAGAGATGATAGATTTATTCATTGCCTATTACTTTTGATCTACACTACATAAAGTGATTCTGTAAACTATGTCTTAAAGATAAATGATTAATTAAGGATTAACAAGATCTTTTAAAAAAAAAATGAAATCTAGATATAAATATATAAAAGGTATTCAAGTAAGGCCTATGATTTACTTGATAAATCTGCGTTAATCATCTGTAATTATCAACAATTTAGGTTAGTTCACTTATTTTTTTTTATCAGTGATTGGCTTGAAACAGTAAGTAAAACTCTTAATCAGAACAAACCATTTTTTTTAGTTTATTCCCCATCAAATGTCTGTTAACAATTTTAGTCATTTGAATATAAGAAGTGTATATATATTTTTGCAATCAAGAAAGAATTCTCATTTCAATAAAATAAGTTTTTTAATTTGCTTTTGTTGAAAAAGTACATTTTCAATGCCCTTTGCTGAAAAATATTTAAATTATAAATTGATTAAAATACACTCTATAACTTTTAATCTTCAATGTCATATAATTATGATATTTGTTTTCAAAATCAATAAGCAATTCTCAGAGGAGAAAAATTGTATACCTATGTTTCAACTTACAAAACGCCCCAAAACAACCTTTATAGATTATTTTTTAACCCAATAAAGTTCCTAGCTTCAAGTCTATCTGTTGGTCTATGCATTTTTTGTTTTGTTTCAGAAGATAAAATGTAAAAGGTGAAATGTGTAAAGGGGAACATCATTTGGTTAAGATATAACTGCAATTTAAATGAAATTATTGTGCAAATTAAGGGACCCCCTATCATTCAATTTGATTCACATTTAGCTCATTTTATCTACTGGAAAAGTGCTTTTCCTTCTGAAGACCAGCAGTTAATGAAATTGTCAGCAATAGTGCTGTATTAATGTTCTTTTTTGTCCACACCATACCTAAATATGATTTGAAATTATTCAAACTACTTTTCCATGATTGATTTCCATCACTTTGATTTGGTTTTGCCAAAGACTGCATACAGGCCTATAGAAAATTTGTACTTTGTTGAACACTGGTGGTTTACAGATACCCATGAAATCCTCCAAAATTGGTATCCCAGGAATAATAATGAATCCAGAGTATCAGATTTCTTGTTTGAATCTTAATTTAAGCTTTGTTCACTACAGCAAAAAAAGTAAGAGAAATTCTAATCAATCCAATATTTAATCATAAATGTTGATCCTTGTCCATTTACCATGTTTACTATTATAGCTACATATGCTTGAGAAAAAAATCCTACATAAAAATTCCTAAAGAATGATGTTTTGTTCACACTTATGACTGAGTCCCTGACACATTGATATTATTAAAAGAAAAACCCCACATATAAATTCAGTCAATATGAACTGAGATTTTTAAACAAACTTTATCTGATTCCATTCAATCAACAGCAATATTTGCAACAACAAACTATTCAAGCTGCTCTAGAAATATTTAAAAGTTAGTTTTACTGAATTTAGGTCATCAATGTGAGATAACTCGTTAAACATATAGCACAACATTTTAGCAGTTGTAATTGGAACCTTAATCATGATAATATAGGATAGCTTACCTTCTCATTCATACATTTCACTTGATTCCAGCTGATTAACATTTTTCTACAGGTGACATATTGCTGTGAGTTATGTAGAAAGATGGCATGGGACGAATATCATCAAGTCTTGTGTATGGGTCCTAGTAGATTAAGCGAAGATAATGATCATCCTTTAGCTAGGCTGCAGGAAACTTGGAGGTAAATGCAAGTTATAATAACTCTGCTAGAAATTGTTAACATTAATATCTAATCTTTCCATTGTATAGAAAAGATGTAAATTTGATATACTTCACATGCTTGAAGTGTTTTTTGTTTCCTTTTTTTGTGTATGAAAATCAAAATGGTGGTCAAAAACCTATAACTGTTGACAAAACAAATCAAACCATTAGATACCTCCTTTATCATGTTCATTCTATTTAAATGTAATCATGGTTCTGTTCTTGAGAAGGAATATAGTAAAAACCTGTTTCAATGATCCAAAGAAATTTACTGTAAAAAAATATTCCAATTTTTTTGACTGTTGAAGTAATGACGTTTGCTTTCACATACAACATTGCAGTTTTTTGCAATAATAGTTTGATCAGTTATGGTCTGGTACTGCAGGTGCACCAAGAACATTCAGAACCAGAAAATAACTCAACATAAAAGGACGTAAAAGTATGCATTTAGAGAAATTCGAGATAAAAAAACTTTCATTTTTTAGAAAATATTTAAAATGACTACATTTTCACTATTAAAAGCAAAACCTCACATACAATGTATAGATACAGTATAAAAACAATAGATAATTGTGTTTGAAGTGACATACAACTTACAAACAATGCATTTCAGTGAAAAATCACTTTTGCCTATGTAGAAAACTCGTGAGTTATTGTAAAACAAGATTATTCCTGCTGATTGAAGTTTATAATGTTCTGATTTACCACCCGGTCATACATGTATATTACATATGATATATAAAGAAAGATAATTCAGAGTGAAGCCCCGACAATCGCAAACATTCATCGCGAAAAATTCACCACCAAGAATGAGTTTTAACTCAATGACCCCTTGTGTAAACTGTAGCTACAAATTTAATGTTTTTATGCCCCACCTAGGAGCATTATGTTTTTCGGTCTGTGTGATCGTTCGTCTGTCCGTCTGTCCTGCTTCAGGTTAAAGTTTTTGGTCAAGTTAGTTTTTGATGAAGTTGAATATTCCAATCAACTTGAAACTTAGTACACATGTTCCCTATGATATGATCTTTCTGATTAATATCTAATTTTAATGCCAAGTTAGAGTTTTGACCAAAATTTCATGGTCCACTGAACATAGAAAATGATAGTGCGAGTGGGGCACCCGTGTACTATGGACACATTCTTGTTTGTATTGGGTTTTTTTTCAGATGACCTAACAAAGTTTATCAGACCCATTGGTTATTTTTTTCAGAAATATACATTATCCACCAGAAACCTCCAGCATAATGCTTATAGTGAAGATGGTAGCCCTAGTCAAACAGGTAGACCCTTTACCCTGTATCTCATATAATAAGTGATTATTTTGTAAGTTCAGGTAAATTCAGTTTGGTATTGAAAATACAAATGTTTGTTTTCAAATCTTTAAATTTGAAACAACCACATTTGCTTATTTATTCAGCAGTTGTTATAAATCAATGATCTTTTGTTTCAATAAATTTATGGTACAGTTATTTTATTAAATCCATCCTGCATCTTGATGCATGTGAACAATATTTCTAACTTTGCTCCTTGGTGCTCTACTCCTCTTCATAGAAACAGCCATGGAAATCATCATTTTACATCACCTACTCTTTAATTCTGTTGTGCATATTTAATGTTTATAACAAGGATAATTGTTCATTAGTTATCCAACCTTAAACGGAATAATTTTATTACGTGTAACTCGTTTTCTATTTCAATATCAATATCAAGTCACAGGATAAATTTTTTCAGTCAGTCACAAAAGTTGGTCAATGCAAAATCATCTACAGTTTAGGTATCACTCCACAGTTAGGTGTGTAGTTTAGCATTTTGGCCCCTGTGGATTTTTCAAATATGATAGCTAGTATAGAATAAAATTCATTTTTGGATAGCTGAAGATTAAAATAGCCTTCATAGTGGGTTTATAGGAACATCAAGATTATGTAATGTATGTAATATGGGCTGTTTTCTGTATGACAGTCCGTATTTTCATATCCATATCAAATATTGGTTCGGCAATTATTGTAATGTTTTTTTCCAACTTTATGTCGCACGAACTTTGCAATTAAATTTTACGAAAAAATGAGGTGAAAGACACCCATTTTTTATTTGATCATTTGGTAGATTAATATCAACAGTTTCTGAAAAGGTATCACTGAAAGGCATTGAAATTCTAGTTTGAATCAAATCTTGGGGGAATATGTGGCTTTTTTACCCCCCTTTTTGTAATATTTTATGGTAAATAAATGCAGAATGTTGCCATGGATACACAAAAAAGGAATTATATTTCACCATTTTAACTTTTAAAAACCAAATCTATGGAAGATACTGATTACATACATATGCACATGTATAACACAAACAGTTAGGTTAATGTATTAGAAAGCCAGGAATAGAAGATGATAAAACATTTTGTGGTTCAATTTTAATGTTTTTTTCTAACTGTGGAGTGCTACCTTACATATTATACTATACATGTATAGGACATGAAGGACTTGGATTGCTTCATACCATCTGTAGTTGTATATCGCTGACATTATATTTAATTATTCGATCAGATGGACTTTGGAGGTTTCTATAGCAAAATATGGTACATTTGTATTTCTAATTTCTACATCTTGGAAATTAGTTGGTGTAAAATATCCTTAATTTTGTATTACGATGGAAGCTGGAACTAAACTTGACAGGATCACTTAGTACACTATGTTTTTGATTTTCCAAAGCAAACCATGGAACTTTCAATTTCTTGAAATGGAGAGTTTTTTTAATGCAAAAACTCATACAGTGTACATTGAATTGATTGGAAGGAAGCAAAACTTGACAAAATAGCTTAAAAACATGGGGATTTTAAAATTAAGATAATTCTTATAGGTCCTGTTCTTTCTAACTTTATAGACATAATTTTATTTGTTTTGATTTTAATAGGCAAAAGACAAGTCGTCAGTTTTACAGAAATTTTCACAATTTGTGAAAAACACAGTAAATGAAGAAGATGAAATTGTACATAAACTTCTTGGTAAACAGTTCCAGGTAATTACATAAACTTCTTGATAACAGTTCCAGGTAATTACATTTAGTTCATGAATCGTTTTAATTTCAATGAATCATAGTTTATATATCATAAATTGTATGAATTATTAGTCAAGAAAATTGGTCTTTACTTGATTTAATACCAACGATAAGAGTGACTGGAGAATTTGGGTAAATGTCAGTGAGACAGCAATTGCTATAAAACAAATGTGCCAAAAGTAGACATCAATAGATTCCATTCTCAATTTTATCAATAGATCACCATTTGACCTTCAACTTAAGTCATGCACTCAATCCATTTTGACAAGCTCTGAAATGTCCCAATTCAATAGACATTACTAAAGATAAGGCATCCACACCTTATTCTTGTACTTTTCATAAAACACAAAATTAAAAAAAGAATAAATATATAAGTAGTACTTCATACTTTGAAATTCGAAAAGATTATTTAAATTCTTGTCTTATGTTTTAGGAACAACTTGAATTACTTAGACAGATGACTGCTGGTTTTATCTTTGAAGAAAATGTTTCCCAGGTATAATGTAATATATACTGTGGATTTATTATTATTCGTGGGGTATTTATGTTTGGGGATTAGTGGGTAAAGGTGGACTATAAATTCTAATACTCAACGAAATATAGATTTGCTGTTGGCTTGTTTACAGAATTTTTCCAACCTACAAAATCAAGTATCCATCGAAAATACAATTTTTCCTCAGTCCACAAAGATTGGTATCCACAAAACTTTGCTGTTTGACAAACTTCCAGGATACAGTATTTAATTATGTTAATACAATATAATGTCAACTTAGGAACATAACTCATGATATTGTGTCGATTGATTGATTAGTGTTTAACGCCACTTTCAACACTATTGTGCTATTTCTTGGCGTTCAGTTTTTATTGGTGGAGGAAGCTGGAGTGCCCCTCATTATATTGTGTTGATCTCTGACATTAATGATACCTTTAATATATGACCTTCAGATTATATATGATTCAGATATCTTATCACTTGACCACAATTGATAGATTGATTGGTTGATTGTTATTTGCTTCATGTTCAGTGACATATTTAGGACAGGAACCAGTAAACAATAAATACAATAGGTATGTTCTGCAAAATTGGTTTTACCAGGATGACAGGCATTTATTAAAGTTGAAATACCACAGGTTGAAAAGGGTATGTGAGAGATTAATACTTGCTTTGAAACAAGGACACAAATTAAATTAGATTCAGAATAAACAAAAAAACTTGAAACTTTATAAATGTATTGGTGTTTTTATACTGTAGTCACTTAAGTGATTGCCTGATATAATATCTTTATTCAAAGAAAGTAAAAAACTCTTGAACCTGTATTGTACACGTTTTTATACAATTGTTATACCCCACACAACTAAGTTGTGTAGGTATAAAGTTTTTGACCTGTCCATCAGTCCGTCAGTCCTGTTCTTGTCCTCTGGAAACACACAACAGAATTTCATGAAACTTTGTAGATAATAAGGACATACTATGTAGATGTGCACATTGACAGGAAATTATGATTCATTTTTTTTTATAGGAGTTATGCCATTTTGAACTTAAAATTTTGGCCTAAATATGCTGCTGCAACAATTTGTCAGCACAAATCCTCTGAAACCACACAACAGAATTTCATGAAACTTTGTAGTTAATAAGGACATACTATGTAGATTTTCACATTGACAGGAAGTTGTGATTCAATTTTTTTTCTAGATGTTATTCCCCTTTGAACTTAAAATTTGGCCTAAATACAATGTATACTACTGCAACAGTTTGTCATCGCTACTCCTCTGAAACCAAACAACATAATTTCATGAAACTTTGTAGATAATAAGGACATACTATTTAGATGTGTATCTTATTTCGACAGGAAATTATGATTAATTTTTTTTTCTATGAGTTATGCCCCTTTGACCATAGAATTTTGGCCTAAATGTACTACTGCACCAGTTTGTCAGCACAACTCCTCTACAACAAAACAGCATAATTTCATGAAACTTTGCATTTAATGAGGGCATAATATGAAGATGTGCATATCCACAAGAATTTTTTATTCATTGTCTTTTGTAGGAGTTATGAGTCTTTGAACTTGGGAATCTGGTGAGATTTTGTTAGACCAGTGACAAAATGGGGGTGTGGGGTATGTAAGCGTGATCACATAGGTTTTTTAATATTTTTTTTCTTTTTCAGTGGTTTACACCTGAAGGATTCAGATCCCTGTTTGCATTGATTGGTACAAATGGACAAGGAATAGGGTCTAGGTATGGTTGTAAATACAAGATAGTTTAAAATTTCAGGATAATTGAATTATATTGATTGATTACATGTCTTTTGCTTAATGTTAAGTTGCATATATTTCATGAATATTCATGATGAGAACAATTTAAAAAATAGTTATTTAAGGTAGGATCTGTAAAGCAGGTCAACCAGATGAAAGTGCAGAAAGTAAAGAAAGTGCTGTGCAAGAGTTCTGTCATGTGTAAAGAATCTTATCACTCTCACACAGCAGGAGGCATCAGTTTAGAATAAGGTCCCTATTCTGACTCGATATGGCTGTGTATTTATTTATACACATTGCACTACAAACAGTAAAAGTCTGAAATGGCCTATATCTGTACTCGACTGTACTGATTTTTACTCGACCAGTCTGAATTGGTCTGAAATTTACTTAATAATACTCGACTGTAGTCTGAACCATACTTAACAGTCTGAACTTGTACTCGACCTTTACTCGACTAGTACTTAACCATTTTATACGTGTCTGAACCATGCTCGACCTAGTCTGAACCATACTCGACCAAGTCTGACCATACTCGACCTAGTCTGAACCATTCTCGACCTAGTCTGAATTATACTCGACCTAGTCTGAACCATATTCGACCAATTTAGTCTTAACCAACCTAGACCTATTTTTTGTATCTATCTATTGTTTTTCATCAATTTAGGAACTGTTTTTAACAACAGCTATTTCCCCTGGCTAGAAATTTCAACAACAATTTGAAATTACAAATGTATTCAATATAGCATTGAAACCAAAATTTCACAATAAACATAATATAAATTCAACACCATATTCATCTACACTTACATATATGTATCACCTTTAAAATAAAGATAAAACAAGCTGATCAAATAATCTCAAAACTGAATTGTGACTTATATTTTCAATGTTATTCAAAATTTTTTGAATGTTTCAGATATATTTTATGGTTACTGGACAGTATTAACCATTAACTTAAGCCTAGTACATGTATAGATTTATGGTGTCAGTTGAGTTTAGTTAATAATGCAGTGAACTTTTTTTTTATTAAAATATATATAAAATAGTATATAAAGCAACTTAATAAATTTAAAAAATGACACCCTTGTTTTGTAAAACCAAGAATTTAATATCATGATAATAGAACTTCCATAGTAATCCTTGATAACCTTTTAAAAAAGGAAATGTGTTCCAATGTTGCAGTAAAAATTTATTTCAATTAAATATAAATATTTTTTGTCAAAATTAAAGACATGGCATACAAGAAGCACTTTAATAAGGTTTAATTACCTCAGTACATGTGTGTTTTACAGGTAAAAAGAAAGCCCTATTTTTCTTAAACTCGTGTATTACTTATCTAGTGAATTCAAAAGGCCTTGTGATTTAAGTTAAACAGGATGTTGCAATTTTGAATGAATGTTATTTATAATTTAATACTCTCTGACCAGGTGTGATCTTTTTAATGAGTTTGCCCCAAGCAGGAGGTATTACTTAATACTTCACCACTAATCAGAAGAACAATTTTATTAATTTCTTTAATTTTTTATCCCTTTTTGATATATATATTATATATAATATATCCCAAATTATAATAAAATATTTATTTCCAATATAAGGTTTAACAATTGTGATTTTGTTGGCTGTTGTTGCCTCATTAAAAAGATAATTGTATAACTATTGTATGTAACCATGAAACCTATGTAGTTTTTATTTAGGAATTTAGAAAAATTAAGTTTTAAAAAAAAACACATGCCAAACAAGAAGCACCTTAATAAGGTTTTATTACCCTCAGTATAGGTGTGGTTTTTAGGTAAAAAAAATCTTTTTTTTTTAACAAAACTCTAAACCTTTAAAATTAATATAATTAAATTATTGTATAAGATAATTTGATTTAACTATCTCTATTTGATAAATCTGAGAATCATGTAAGGATGAAAAAATCTGTTTATGTATATATATATCTTTATTTTATTGTGGCTGTTGTCATGTCAGTTAAAAAGAAATTTATTTTAACAGTTAAAATTAAAAAAAAGTAAAGGTTATTTGGTCAAGTATGGTTTAGACTGGTCGAGTACTGTTCAGACCTTTGGTCGAGTATGGTTTAGACTGAAAAAATAGGTCGAGTACAGGTCGAGAATGGGTTAAGACTGTTTCAGACTGGTCGAGTAATAGTTCAGACTATTTTCAATGGCAAATATAAGGGTCAAGTACAAATCAGTACAGTCGAGTATGGTTAAGACTGGGGTCGAGTAATGTCGAGTAAAATTCAGACCAATTCAGACTGGTCGAGTAAAAATCAGTACAGTCGAGTACAGATATAGGCCATTTCAGACTTTTACTGGTTTGTAGTGTTGGTTAGATGTACACGACAAAAAAGAAAGTGCTGTTTACAAAAAACAACTGTAGAAGATTGCTACGATGCAATAATGAAAGATTAAGAATTATCCTTGGAATTAAATTTATGGTGTACGTGTATTGATTAATTAAACATGACTGAAAATCTACTAAACCAATTAATAATGAAAATGCAAATAAAATAGGTATCTCAGACAATTACTGAACTTTTCATTCCTTGCTTTATACAGGCACAGATTTGAATTTTGCTAAATTTACTATACTTGGTCAACTGTATGAATTTTCTTATTTAAAGGTCTATTGCAAACATTAAATGATGACAAATCATAAATTCTTGTACAGAAAATACTATAGTAATATCCAATGATATAAAGTATGACTGGATACATGGTAAAAAATAATGAGGGGAAGAACTGTATTTATTTGAGGTCACCACATCCTAGGCCAAGGTCATAGTTTCTAAAAGTAGACCAAAATTTGAGCAGAAAAGTGATTTCCAGATGTTAAATCGAAAACTAGGTATAGGGTTGCCTCTATACTTGGAGATATGGTCACATATAATGAGAGGAAGATCCATATTTATTTTGATGTCAATATCTCAAAGATCACGGTCAAAGGTACTATAATAGATTGCAATTTGTTATGGATATTAAATCAAATACTGTGGATTCATTATTATTCGTGGCATCCCAATTTTAGTGGATTTCATGGGTAAAGGCATACCATGAATTTAAATGTTCAACAAAGTTCTATAGGCTTGTATACAGACTAAGCAAAATCTCGAAATCAAATATCCTTGAAAATTGGTACCCACGAAAATAAATGAATCCACAGTACTACATATGGGATTGTAACCTTACTTAGATATATGATTCAAAAGTAAAGAGAGGATGACCTCCATTGATTTTGGGGTCCCTATGTATATGGTCATAGTTACTTAAGAATAGACTGAATTTGTGTTGAAAAGCGGCTGGTTAAGTTTGCTTAATAAAATACTACATATGGGATTGTAACCTCACTTAGATATATGATCAATTAATGATATATTTTGAGGTCCCTATGACTAAGTCAAGGTCATAGTTACAAAAAATACAAGTTGAAATTTGTGAAAAGTGGTTTAAGGATGCTTAATCAAATACAATCATGACAATGTACTTCATATGGAATAACTACCTGACTCTGATATGTGGTCACATATGATGAGAAGAAGATACCTATTATAAGTTATATGGTTGCTACTGACCCCCCTACAGATTCATAGAGGATAGTAAAATTCATAGGGGGTGAGGCCAACGGGGCATTTATCTTGCTCTTCTCTGACAAGCAATTACAGAAACCAAATTGTTGTCCATTGAAGATCTCAAGATGATTTCTGCTTATCACAATGACAGTACAAACATCTTATTGAATCTAGTAGACAAGTAATAAAAACTGCAGATTTCTTTTCAGTTTGCATTTTGTTGTTGGATTGTTGTCTTATCTATACATACAACACAGATCCTTTATTTGTAATTAATTGCACAGGTTATTATGAATTATTTTGTGAAATATAGCTATAGGTTGCACTTCTGTAAATATAGACAAAACAATTTCTCATAGGAACTCTTTTTATACGGCTAAAACTGTGCCACTTTTACTATGAAGTTTCGTAAAAAATTATATCCTTGAATGGAAAGTTCACATGCAATACTATTTTTTCAAAGGTCATAACATAGGGCTGTGCGGCATATTTTCATCATTTATATCCCTTGAACTTCTAAGAGTTTAGATTTATACTAAAATTCTGTTCTGGCCCTCCCTACACTTTGGGTCTTCCTCAGAATTTAATTTGGCTGCTATCCATGTGTATTTATACTGGTAAAATTCCCAAGTTGTGTCTCTACGAGATGAAAAATAGAGATCATCTCAGGGAACCAGTATGTAAACAAAACAAAATATCCATGAATATTAAATATCTCCCCAAAAGAGGTGTGGTTTATGAAACAGCTGCATTTACAAAGTGCAACCTATAGCCTCACTGTGACTTTGAGATGTAGAACTGCAATGAAAGCTCTCTTTCTCTGCTTCAGATTCTGTCAAATGTTTGTAGGGATTTTGTGTAGTGAATTCTCTTTCCATTCCATTGTAGGGGGAAATATGGATGGTCCAAATTAAGGTTCTATCATACTTGCAAATGTTACGTGATTGGGTTATTGATTTGGAGAACTTCTTGCCTTTGCATTTTAAGAAAACAAGCTACATAGAATAAATTATCTACTATTTTATACTACAACTAGTATAACAGAACTTTGTATGAAGTAAAACATATTTTATTGATTAATATATAAATTCACATTTACAATGACCTAAAAAAAGATAATGACATAAAATCATGTTGTGTATATCATTTCACTAAAACTAGTGTGTTTTTACCCTTTTAAACAGTCTCATAGAATTAACACTTGTTTTGTGGAAAGTATTTGTTATTGTGTAGATTGCCATTATTATTTTTGAAGAAGTTCTAGGTAACTGCAACACAGTCTTCTGTATTTCTATTAGAACATATGATAATATTAGAAACTTAATTTGAAATTACATTGATTATTTTAATAATAATGACTAAGGGTAGACAATCTTGCTTCTGCACTTGTAATTTTTAATATATCT